TTGTGAATTAACTTGTACAGAAATTGTACAGAAATGGTGTGGGGAGTTTGGATGCTGTGGGTGATGCTCATGGTGCTTGAATTCACCTGTTTTGAACTAACTTGTACAGAAATTGTGTGTGGAATTTGGATGCTGTGGGTGATGCTCGTGGTGCTCGAGTCCATCTCTTGTAAATTAACTTGTACAGAAATTGTGTGTGGAATTTGGATGCTGTGGGTGTGATGCTTGTGGTGCTCGAGTCCATCTCTTGTAAATTAACTTGTACAGAAATTGTACAGAAATGGTGTGGGGAGTTTGGATGCTGTGGGTGATGCTCGTGTGCTTGAATTCACCTGTTTTGAACTAACTTGTACAGAAATTGTGTGTGGAATTTGGATGCTGTGGGTGTGATGCTTGTGGTGCTCGAGTCCATCTCTTGTGAATTCACTTGTACAGAAATTGTGTGTGGAATTTGGATGCTGTGGATGATGCTCGTGGTGCTTGAATTCATCTGCATTGAATTAACTTGTACAGAACTTTGGTTTTCCAGCTGCATTAGCAGCCCTGCTTCCAGGGGTTGGGAATTTTTCCACAAGGAGGGATGGGAACAAAGTGGATCTGTCTGTAAAGAAGACCTTGCACTGTCCTGGTGAGCTGCTTGGATTACACCAACTCCAGCAACACCCCAAGTAAACACCCACTGATTTGTTTAATTCCAGGCCTCTCAAGCAGCCAGGAAATCCAAAACCGACGACCACGGCGACGACGAGAACCTGTCAGAGCAGACAATCCTCAACATGATCTCCAGGAACAACAGCTCGGACATGAACATCGCCGGGCTCATGAGCATGTCCACCTCCTCCACGGCCGGAGCGGGGCCGGCGCTCCCGGCCTCGGCCGATTCCCCCGGGGAGCCGAGCGCTGCTGATCCCTCGCAGGCGGATCATTGGCACCCCCCGGCCAAGCTGGACATCCACAGGACTAACGAGGGCACAGCAGGCACTGAGCACCAGCAGCAGGATGGTGCTGCCTACCCCAAGCAGAGCACCAAGAACGCACCCTCAGCCAAGGTGTCCCTCAAGGAATACCGGGCCAAGCACGCCGAGGAATTGGCGGCGCAGAAGCGGCAGCTGGAGAACATGGAGGCGAACGTGCGCTCCCAATACGCCTACGCCGCTCAAAACCTCCTGGTGCAGCAGCAGAGGGAGAGGGAAGGGCAGCAGGACAGCAACCCCTCCCCAATCGTCCTGAAAATCCCCAGCACGGGGCAGGAGAACCCACCCGGCACCGACAAGGGTGACAAAGCTCTCAAGATGAGGATCCCGGCGGTGGCGGGAGGCGGGGAGAGGCCGATCCCCTCCAAGCAGGAGGATATCAAGATGCGGCTCAAGGTGCCGGCTCCCGGAGACAGACACAGCTCTGCAGATGAGAGCAGCAGCGGGAAGAGCAGGGAGTACAAAGAGAAGCACAAGGGCCACTCATCCAACCACCACCACCACCACCACAACCACCACTCGCACAAACACTTGCACGCCCAGCTCGGCGCCGGCCCCAGCACCGCGGCCAAACGCCCGGGGGACTCCAAACACGGCGCCCAAGCCGGCGCTGCCGCCACCCCCCACAAGGGCTACGGGCCTCTCGCCCCCACCCGCAAAAGACCCATGCCCGAGGAGCCCCCGGCCATGGCCCACGAGCACCAGCCCAAGGTGGGCAAAGTCTCCAAAGGGCCCGGAGTGCCGTTCCCATACGCTCACCTTCCCGGGGCTGCCCATCTGCCCGGGCACAGCTCGGATTTAGCACAGCCCGGCAAAGCTCGGGGCGCTCACAAATCGGACAAGGGGCCTTCGGGGGCCAACGGGCACAACGTCAGCCAGGCCAGTGACTATCAGGACACGGTGAACATGCTGCACTCGCTGCTGAGCGCTCAGGGCATGCAGCCCACCCAGCCCCCAGCCTTCGAATTCCACTCGTACGAGCTCCTGAACCCCCGGGCTTCCAGCGGCTCCAGAGCTGCCAGCAACACGGACAAGCCCCGACCGCCCCCTCTGCCCTCGGAACCGCCCCCTCCGCTGCCTCCCCTCCCCAAATAACCCCTCCCCCTTTTTACTACTGAGTCCAGAGCCCGAGCCCAAACCCGCGGGGCTTTTCTAAGGGCTTTTTGATCTCCACTGCCTCACGAAGAACTTATTTTATTATAATATAACTTTTATTATTGATATTTAGTTGTTAAAAGCTGTGAAAGGATAAGGAACCCTTTCTCTATTCCTCCCTTTCCCCCATAGGCTCCCAGTTAGTGTTGGGCTTTGACCCCCCCATCTGGGGAACATGGGGGATATTTAAAATATGTCACAGAAAATTTAAGATGTTTTACAAATAATTTAAGCATTAACTTATATCTCAGTGGTTTGGTTCCTTTTAATTTCGAGGGGCTGTGGCAGAGCCCAGGGGGACTTTTGGGGAGGTTCCATTTGAGGCATTGGTGTTGAGTTTTTTGGGGGATGGAGGGATGTGGGGGGCTGAGGGAATCCCAGGTGATGGGAGCTGTTTTCCCTCCCATGGGTTGTGTTTCCTTGCCCCTGCACCTGTTCTGGTTCGAGATCCTGTCTCCATGCCTTGCTCCCTTCCTGCAGATCCCTGGATTTCCTCTGGAAACCCTGGGGGCAGAGCTCCCAGTGGGATCTGGGATGAGAAAGTGCCAGGCTGGTCCTGTAGGCACCATGCCCGGGGCAGCTCTTCAGGGAATCAATTGGCACATGGCTGTTCCCAGCTGAGCTGGAACAGCTCCTCCTGAAACCTCAGCCCAGGGCCAGGGGACCTGCCAGGGTTTGGGTTGAATATTTGGGAAAAAAGCCCTATTTCCTTTCTTTTTTAGACTTGACTTTTCTGACCTTCAATAAATGGGTGGTCTCTGGATGCTTTTGGGAAACTCTTGTTCCATGTCGAGCTCGTTTTTAGGAGGCATTGTTGCTTCCAAACCCCCTCCAAGGATTTGGGGACCGATTTGGTCCAGTTTTGGGACCAATTCTCAGATTTCAGGCTCTGGGCAGGCCCATTGCTTCCCTTCCCTCTTTTGGAGCCTCTCTTGGAGGTGGCTCCTCCTGGGATGCCGAGGCTCTGTCGGTTTGTGGCGGGCTCGGGAAACCGGGAGGGCACCGAGTGCTGCCGGAGGGTCCCAGGGTGGTGCTCTGGGACCGAGCTGGGCCTGCCCACGAGCATCTCCTGACCCGGAGCCAAAACAGGCCGGGTCCCGGCTCGTTCCCCCTCTCTACCCCGGTTTTGGGCCGGTGTCCTGGTCCCGGAACCCACCCAGTGTCCTGTCCCGGGACCCCCGCCTCGGTGGCCTAGCACGGGAATCCCCTCGGTGTCCTGGCTCGGGACTACCCCCTCCCGGTGTCCTGGCCCGGGATCCGCCCCGGTGTCGTGTCCCGGGACCCCTGGCTCGGGATCTGCCCCGATCCTATCTCGTGACCCCCACCACGGTATTCTGTCCCGGGATCCCCTCTCCCCTGGTGTCCTAGCCCAGGATCCGCTCCGGTTCTTTCCCGGGACCCCTGCCCCGGTGTCGTGTCCCGGGACCCCCCTGTCCTCCGGAATCTGCCCCAATCCTGTTCCGGGACCCCTAACCTGGTGTCCTGGCCCGGGACCCCCTCTCTCCTGTCCCGGGATCCCCGCCCTGGTGTCCTGGCCCGAGACTCCTGGCCCGGGACTCCCCTCTCCCCCGGTGTCCTGCCCCGGGATCCGCCCCGGTCCTGTCCCGGGCCCCCCGCCCCGCTCCCGCCGCCCCCACGTGTCGCGTTCCCGCCGCGCCGCCCTCACGTGACCATAGGAAGGCGTGGTCACTCTGTCCCTGAGTGACTACGAGCTGAGCCAATCATAATCGAGAACGCCCCCGTGCTCGCCGCTGATTGGCGAGCGAGCGGGCCAGTGAGGAGGCGGGGCGGGCGCACGGCGCGGCAGCGCGGAGGCCGCGGCGGCAGAGAGGTAAGATGGCGGCGGCGCCTCCTGCTCACAATGGGGCCCGGTGTGCCCCTCAGCGCGGCCCTTGAGTTCTTCCCCAGGGCTTGTCTGTCGTGTACCGTCCCGAGGACGGGTTTCCTCTCCCTCTCCCCTCCGGTAGCGCTTCCTGGGCGCCCCTCAGGGTTGCCCCTCACGCCCGCCGCCCGCGGACAAAATGGCGGCGCCTGGGCGGCGGGAGCGCGCATGCGCGGGAGCGGGGCGGCAGAGCACGTGCGCGGGCGGGAGAGCGGCGGGACGGACCGGGACAGGCACCGGGAGAGAGGCTGGGATAGAGACCGGGATAGATCAGGATGGGCACCGGGAGAGAGGCTGGGATGGACCGGGATAGAGACCGGGATAGATCAGGATGGGCACCGGGAGAGAGGCTGGGATAGAGACCGGGATAGATCAGGATGGGCACCAGGAGAGAGGATGGGATGGACCGGGATAGATCAGGATGGGCACCGGGAGAGAGGCTGGGATAGAGACCGGGATAGATCAGGATGGGCACCGGGAGAGAGGCTGGGATAGAGACCGGGATAGATCAGGATGGGCACCGGGAGAGAGGCTGGGATAGAGACCTGGATAGATCAGGATGGGCACCGGGAGAGAGGATGGGATGGACCGGGATGTACCGGGATAGAGGCTAGGATGGACCGGGATAGATCAGGATGGGCACCGGGAGAGAGGCTGGGATGGACCGGGATAGAGACCGGGATAGATCAGGATGGGCACCGGGAGAGAGGCTGGGATGGACCGGGATGTACGGGGATAGATCAGGATGGGCACCGGGAGAGAGGCTGGGATGGACCGGGATAGAGGCGAAGATAGATTAGGATTGGCACCGGGATAAACCCAGGGGTAGACCGGGATGCGCACTGGGGGATACCGGTACAGAGGCGGGAATAGACCGGGATATAGAGCGTGGTTGGGGCTGGATGGGCACCGGGGATGCCCCGGTACGGAGCCGTGCACGGACACAGGCTGCGGGGCAGGACGAGTCACCGGGAGACATCGGGACAGAGGCAGCGATGGGCACTGGGAGCACCCAGGAGATGCTCTGGGGGTGCACTGGGAGAAGAGGATCCCCCCCGCATTCCTGCAGGGATAAAAGCTCCCTCGAGCATTATTGGCAATTACCTCCATAGGAGCAGCCTCATCTTCTGCTGAAGGGGTCAGACTTTGATTCAAATTCTTTCCCGCTGCTACTTTTCATTGTATCAGCGTTTTATTCCCCTCCCTTCCCTTGCTCTGCAGCGTGGGCATGAACAGGATCCGCATTCACGTGTTGCCGACCAGCCGGGGCCGCCTGACCCCGGTGCCTCGGCCTCAGGAGCCCCTGGCCTGCTCCTTCAGCCCCCGGCCCTGCTCCCAGCCCCGCCTGGAAGGGCAGGAATTCTGCATCAAGCACATCCTCGAGGACAGGAATGCTCCCTTCAAACAGTGCAGCTACGTGTCCACAAAGAATGGGAAGCGTTGTCCCAATGCTGCTCCCAAACCTGAGAAGAAGGATGGGTGAGTGGCTCTTCCTCTTGGTTTTCCAGTTCCAAACTGGAATTAAAACAGGGGGAGGTTTTATTCTTTTTCTTCCCTTTTGAAGGAATGGCTGGAGCTGTGTCAGGAGAGATTTAGACTGGATTTTGGGAAAAGGTTCTTCCTCCAGTTGAGCAGCTCCTCAGGGCAGTGGTGACATTCACAGCCCTGCCAGAGCCCAAGGAGTGTTTGGATAATGCACCCAGGAACATGGTGGGATTTTGGGATGTCCTGTTAAGGCCAGGAGTTGAACTTGATGATCTTGATGGGTCCCTTTCAGGATATTCCATGATTCTTCTCTTTCAGCTGCTGCATTTTGGTTAACTCTGAGAAGCGTCTCCCTTTTTCCAAAATGTTTCTAAGCTGGAGAAAGACTCCATGGAGTTATTTGGGGACTGTGGGCTGTGCCCTGACCCAGCAGAAGGTGGCTGCAGTGCTCCAGGCCCTGCACTGGGATCTGTGTGTGCTGTTCCTCCCTCATCCCAGCACATCCTGTGCCAGGGGATAATCCCCAGAGCAGCCACTCAGATCCCTCTGGAGCTTTGGCCTGGTTGTGCTGCTGCTTCCCTTAGGCCTTTAAAATGCTCAAGGGGTGGAACAGTTATGGATGATAGAGCACAGATTCCTGACAGGAGCATTGCTTCCAGGATTTACTGGGATGTGGCCATAAAATGTGGGGAAGGCAGAGTCCAGTGAGAACATTTGGAAGCTGAAGAGCTCAAAAACTCACTCACCTCCCTGGCTTTAACCAAAAGCTTTTTACTCCCTGCTGCTGGTGCTAGAGGTGATGTTCCCACAGGGATGGGTGGCTCTCAGCATTCCCAGGCTGGACCTGCAGGCAGCTCCCTGTGAGAGATTCCAAGTGCCAGGGCTTGTTCCCTGCCCTTCTGCCCTGCTCAGGTGAAACCCAGCATCCAGAGCTGCATCCAGAGCTCAGGAAGCTTTTCCTGAACCCCCAGCCCAGGGAAAAACATGGAGCAGTTGGAATGAGTCCAGAGATGAGCATGGATCAGCTCTCTTAGAAGGAAAGGCTGAGAGAATTTAAATTGTTCTGGAGAAGAGAAGCTCAGAGGTGACCCAATTGTGGCTTTAAAGTGCTGAAAGAGCTGCAGGACAGATGGAGAGACTGTTTACAAGGGGTGGAGTGCCAGGCCAAGAGGGAATGGCTTCCAACTGCCAGAGGGCAGGCCTAGGTGGGATATTTGGAACAAATTGCTCCCTGTGAGGCTGGGGAGGCCCTGAAATGGATTTTCCAGAGAAGCTGGGGCTGCCCCTGGATCCCTGGAAGTGACCAAGGACAGGTTGGACAGGGCTTGGAGCCACCTGGGATAGTGGAGGGGGTTCCTGCCCATGGCAGGGGTGGAACTGGATGGTTTTGACATTCCAAATGCAAAGCATCCTGGAAGTCTGAAAATGCAGGAATGTGGAAAGTTTAGGAGCTATTAGGGCTGGTGGCTGCTCCTTTGGAATGGCTGTGCTCATTTAAATGCCTTTAGAGGCCTCTTAAAAAGAGGATTTCCCCCCTCCACCCCCATTTTCTCTGGCAATAGGAAAAGATGAAGATTTTAATCCTCAGATTATTGTGGCATCATCGTGCATTGAAAGCAACACAGCTCAGAGCCTCGGGAATGCATTGAGGCCAAAGCAGAGCAGCAGGATCCAGGGGAGCTGCTCCTGGCAGTGTCCCCTCAGTGTTTGGGTGCTCCTGAGGTTGCTGAGCTCTGCTGTTGGAGGCAAACCTTGGTTGTGCGTTGGTGTTTTGCAGCCACATTTCTCTTCACAGAGAAAAGCAAGGCACAATTCTTCCCAAGAATATTTCTGGCATTCACGTTCTCTGAACCTCAGAGGAAGGAGAAACAATTCTTATCACTTGCTGTGCCCGTGTTTGTGCAAAAGTAGAATGCAATATGGAGATTGTTTACCCAAAGTGATGGTGTTTTGTTTCCCTGGCCTATCAGGGCCAAGTGTGTGTGTGTGGTGACAGTCACGAGTTGCAGAATGTTGTGTGCAGGGTTGAGTGCTTGGCAGATTCAGTTTAGATGTAATGGAATATAGCATAGAATATATATACTATATATATACACATAGTATATTATATATAGTATACTATATATATTATATATGGTATATACATATATATGTATATATATGTATATACGATACATAATATATAGTATACTATGTATACTATATACTATATATATAGTATATACTATACATGGTATACTTTTTATATTATATTCTATGTATATAGTATAATATATATAGTATACTATGTACAGTATAACCCTATATATAAAATATATAGTATAATCATAGTATAGTATATACTATATTTAGTATACTATATATATAGTATCCTATATATAGTATAAACCTTTATATCTAATATATCTAGTATGGTTATAGTATAGAATATACTGTATAAACTATACTATATATAGTATAATCATAGTATAGTATAAGATATATGTAGTATATATTTTACTATATATAGTACTACATACAGTATATAGAATATATACAGTATATAGAATAGAATATAGTATATAGAATATGTATATATATTGTGTATATAGTATATAGTGTATAATATTATAGTATACTATATATAGTATATACTACATATAGTATAACCCTATATATATAGTATAATTGTAGTATAGTATGGTGTAATATATATAGTGTATATATTATAGAATATTATAGTATATGTATATATATTATATATAGTATATACTGCATATAGTACAGTGCATTATAATATAATATAGTATATAGTATATACTATAATATTATAGTATAATAAAGTAATTAAATAGCCTTCTGATATTGATGGAATCCTCCTCATCATTCCTCCTTTGTTCAGATGTAATGTAATATAGTATAAAATCTTATAGTATACTATATATAGTATATACTACATATATAGTATATGATATATAGTATAACCCTATATATAATATATATAGTATAATTATAGTATAGTACAATATATATAGTGTGTATATATAGTACAGATAGTACTTTATATAAAGTATAGAATATTATAGTATATTTGTATATGTATGCATTATATATAGTGTATATATAGTATATAGTATAGAATATTATAGTATATGTATATATACTATATATAGCATATATAGCATATAGTATAATATAGTATAATATATAGTGTAATAATATAATTAATTAGCCTTCTGATATCGATGGAGTGCTCCTCATCATTCCTCCTCCTCAGCACAGCTGTAGTGTTTGGTGATGGAGGAGGGATTCCAGCAGCAGGAGCTGGGACACCAAGCAGGGTCAGGCTGGGGAGGAGGGAGGGGGGCTCAGATGAGCTTTTACCTTCTTCCTACCCAAATTCCTCCACAGTGCTGAGCCCTGCTTTGTCCCACAGCACCTCGTTCTGCGCGGAGCACGCCCGGCGCAACGCGCTGGCACTGCAGGCTCAGGTGAAGAAATCCAACCCCGGGCCCGTGGGTGAGACCCTCCTGTGCCAGCTGAGCTCCTATGCCCGGGCAGAGCTGGGCATCCCGAGCGCCGAGAGCAGCCGCAGCGAGGCCAGCCGCATCCTGGGTGAGCACTGAGCCCCTTGCCTTGAGATTTTAGCCTTTTATTTTTTTCAAATCCTGTGGGGGTACCAGTCGTTGGTTTTTCTGGGTCTGGATTGAAGGAACTTGAGACAGTAATTCATGTTTGGACTCAAGTGTTTATTATTTGTTATCAGTAAAACAGCTTCACTACTGTGAGTTCAGCAGCAAGGCACAAAATGGCCAACAATCTCTTGTTACAAGGTCTTTTAAGACTAAACTATCCAATTAAGAACTGACACCTAGATTATTTTCAGTTTTAACCCAATAACTGATCCCAAAGAACTGATCCCCTTTTGATACCTAGATCATTTTCCCTTTTAACCCAATAACTGATCCCAAAGAGCCCCCATTGCTGACTGGAATTCCCTGGTTCCTGGGAGGGCTGAAGCATCATTCCCAGTGTGTTCTGGAATTCACTGGTTCCTGGGAGAGCTGAAGCATCATTCCCAGTGTGTTCTGGAATTCCCTGGATCCTGGGAGGGCTGAAGCATTGTTCCCAGTGTGTTCTGGAATTCTGTGGTTCCTGGGAGAGCTGAAGCATCATTCCCAGTGTGGTCTGGAATTCCCTGGTTCCTGGGAGAGCTGAAGCACATTCCCAGTGTGTTCTGGAATTCTGTGTTTCCTAGGAGAGCTGAAGCATCATTCCCAGTGTGTTCTGGAATTCTGTAGTTCCTGGGAGGGCTGAAGCATCATTCCCAGCGTGTTCTGGAATTCTGTGGTTCCTGGGAGAGCTGAAGCATCATTCCCAGTGTGTTCTGGAATTCCCTGGTTCCTGGGAGGGCTGAAGCATTGTTCCCAGTGTGTTCTGGAATTCTGTGGTTCCTGGGAGAGCTGAAGCATCATTCCCAGTGTGTTCTGGAATTCTGTAGTTCCTGGGAGGGCTGAAGCATTGTTCCCACTGTGTTCTGGAATTCTGTGTTTCCTAGGAGAGCTGAAGCATCATTCCCAGTGTGTTTTGGAATTTTGGTTGTTCCAACTGGGAGGTTTCCTGTTGTTTCCTGCTCCATGTCCCTCTCTCAGAGTTTTGAGGTGGAGAATTCGCTCTTGACATGAGGCAGAGCCTGCTCAGCTCCATGGGGCTGAGCTCCAGGGTATCCCTGGCCAAGCTGGGATGGGGCTGAGCTCCAGGATGTCCCTGGCCATGCAGGGGCGTGGGACAGTGTCCTGTCACTCTGCTGCTGTGTCTTGCAGACGAGGACAGCTGGAGTGACTGCGAGCAGGACCCTGTCACCGTGGAGCAGACGTGGCGTGGGGACCCTGACAGTGAAGCTGACAGCATCGACAGCGACCAGGAGGATCCCCTCAAGTAGGTTGGGGGAGCAGTTAAATTTATATTTTGGGGGGGCTCAGCCTGGAAGCCAGAATCTTCAGAAAAAACCCATGGGATCCCCAGACCCTTCAGGGATCAGCCCTGAGGGATCCCCACATCCTTTGAGGGCTCATCCCTGAGGGACCCCCAGACTCTTCAGCAGAAAAAATCCACGGGGTCCCCAGACCCTTCTGAAAAAATCCTGATCCTTCAGGGATCAACCCTAAGGGACTCTCACACCCTTTGGGGACTCTTCTATGAAGAACCCTCAGACTCTTCAGCATAAAAAACCCATGGGATCCCCAGACCCTTCAGGGATCAGCCCTGAGGGACTCCCACACCCATTGGGGGTTCGTCCCTGAAGGATCCTTGGACTTTTCAGCAGAAAAAACCCACGGGATCCCCAGACCCTTCAGGGATCAACCCTAAGGGACTCCCACACCCTTTGGGGACTCTTCTATGAAGAACCCTCAGACTCTTCAGCAGAAAAAACCCACGGGGACCCCAGACCTTTCAGGGATCAACCCTGAGGGGTCCCCACACCCTTTGGGGGGATCAGTCTCCAGGAACCCCCCAAACAGACCCTATTTCCCTGGGTTTTCCAGGCATGCTGGTGTGTACACAGCCGAGGAAGTGGCTCTGATCATGAGGGAGAAGCTGATCCGCCTCCAGTCCCTCTACATCGACCAGTTCAAGCGGCTCCAGCACCTCCTGAAGGAGAAGAAACGCCGGTTCCTGCACAGCAGGAAGGGAGAGCATGAGGCCATCGGTGAGCCTGGACTTCCTGCCTGAGGGTGGGCACAGAAATCTGCTAAAAATGGAGGGTTTGGGCCTTTTAGAGGCAGATTTCAGAGCAGGGTGAGGGCAGGGTTCCACACTCAGTGTTTTGTTGAGGAGATGGGGAAGTGGCTGGAGCACAAGGAAAATGGTCTGGAGAGCTGGGGAGGGGATGAGCCTGGAGAAAAGGAGGCTCAGGTGGGACCATCTCACTCTGTAACTCCCTGACAGGAGAGGACAGCCAGGTGGGGGTCAGGTATCAATGATATCAATGGAGTCCTCCTCATCATTCCTCCTTCGTTTAGATGTAATGTGATATAGTATAGAATATATAGTATAGAATATATAATATAGAATATATAGAATATATAGTTTAGGTGTAATGTAATATAGTATAGAATATATAGTAATGTAATATAGTATAGAATATATAGTAATGTAATATAGTATAGAATATATAGTATATATAGTATAGAATATATAGTATAGAATATATAGTTTAGATGTAATGTAATATAGTATAGAATATATATAGTGTAGTATAATGTAGTGTATATATAGTATATATAGTACTATATATAGTATATAGAATATATATAGTACAGAATATTATATGGTATACTAATTATAGTATATACTATATATATAGTATAACCCTATACAGATATAATTATAGTATAGTATAATTCATATATAGTACTATATATATAGCATATAGAATATATATAGTATAGAATATCACAGTATATGTATATACTATATATACTATACTATATATAGTACAACCAATACATATATAATTATAGTATAATATATATAGTATATAAATAGTATATATAGTACCATATATATAGCATATAGAATATATATAGCATAGAATATCATAGTATATGTATATATATAGTATACATATAGTATTTATATAGTATATACTATAGTATAACCCTCTACATACATAATTATGGTATAATTATAGTATAGTGCAATATATATAGTATATATAGTGTATATATAGTATATAGAATATCATAGTAGTATAGAATATTATGGTGTATGTGTATATATAGTATACATATAGTATTTATAGAGTATATAGTATATTATATGCTATACTATAATACTATAATATTATAGTATATAATAGATATAGTATATAATAGATATATAATATATAGTATTATAGATATATTATAGTGTAATATATCTGCTCCCACAGAACAATGAGACAAAAGGAAATGGCCTCAAACTGTGCCAGGGGAGGTTTGGGGTGGGCATCAAGAGGATTTCTGTATGGGAAAGGCACTGGAAATGCCCAGGGAGGCGTTCAGTGATCAGCTGGACATTGCCCTCAGTGCTCTGATCTGGTTGGCAAGGCAGGGATCAGTCACAGGTTGGACTCTGATCCTGGAGAGCTCTTCCAGCCTGAGTGATTCCATGGTTCTGTGCTGGTCCTGTGCCCAGAGATCCCTATCACTGCAGTTCCAAAGCTTGTGCATTTCTTTGCTCTTCAGAGCTTGCAGCGTGGGCAGGAAATGAGCTATAATGTTAATTCTGAGACAAAAGTGCTTATTTTGTACTGGGATTTCCTGTTTTTTCCTTTTACGAACAAAAAAAATATTCATCCATAAGGCCCTTGGTGTGTGGATAGGAGCTGATTCCAGTAACACCAGTGCTGGTGTACTGGCTTATTCCTCCTTAGCAGCTTTCCCTCTGCCTCTGCTGGCATTCTCTCTGTGCAGAGCATGCTTTTGAAAGCAGGAATTCCCAGTTCAACAGAGGCAAAACCGAGTTGTGTAACTGATCCCAAGTATTGCAGAGCAAAGGACTCTTTTTCCAGCATCATCCTTTAATAGCTCATCCTGGAAAACGCCATAATTCAGCTCAGGCTCAAGTAAAAATAACCAGGAGTTTGGTACATACCAATTTTGCAGAACTCTTTTTAGCAAATGAGGCAGAGAAAAGCAGATCCTGAGCGTTGCCCTGTAATTACACCAGGAATGCTGGCAGGAAGCTTCCAGAACTCACACAGGAGTGACCTGGAATTTGACAAGTTTCTATTCTGCTGAAATCACAATGCACAGGAGCGGCTTGAATTATTTTCAAAGGAGGTTTTAAAAATACTCTGTGGGTTCCTGGTGTTTCAGGAGAGGTCAGGATGAATTTTGGGACGCACCCTGCACCGCCAGGCGTCACCCAAAGCTGGGTGCTGTGGATGGAGCCCTCAAAGCCCAAAAATCCAGGCAGGTTCCTGACTCTTCCTTTATTCCTGCAGGGAGCAGCCTCCTGACAGGGCCAGAGGGGCTGATGGCCAAGGAGAGGGAGAACCTGAAGAGGCTCAAGTGCCTGCGGCGTTACCGGCAGCGCTACGGGGTGGAGGCTCTGCTGCACCGGCAGCTCCGTGAGCGCCGCGTCCTGGCCACCGACGGCGCGGCCCAGCAGGTCCGTGGGGACATCCTGGAGGGGTCTGTCCTCTCCTGTCCTTCTGGGAGTGACCCCACACTCTGGCAGATTGCCTCATGTAATGCCCTTCCTGCAAGGCTGCCGCCCTCCTGGGTTTGGAGAAGCTTCTGGGGTTGTTGTGGGAGCTCTTGGGTTTGTAGGAGCTCCTGGGGTTGTTGTGGGAGCTCCTAGGGTTGTTGTAAGAATTCCAGGGTTTGTAGGAGCTTCTGGGGTTGTTGTAGGAGCTCTTGGGTTTGTAGGAGCTCCTGGGGTTGTTGTAGGAGCTCTTGGGTTTGTAGGAGCTCCTGGGGTTGTTGTGGGAGCTCCTGGGGTTGTTGTGGGAGCTCCTGGGGTTGTGGGAGCTCCTGGGGTTGTTGTGGGAGCTCTTGGGTTTGGAGAAGCTCCTGGGGTTGTTGTAGGAGCTCTTGGGTGTGTGGGAGCTCCTGGGGTTGTTGTGGGAGCTTCTGGAGATGTTGTGGAAGCTCTTGGGTGTGTAGGAGCTCCTGGGGTTGGAGAAGCTCCTGGGGTTGTTGTGGGAGCTCTTGGGTGTGTAGGAGCTCTTGGGTTTGTTGTCGGAGCTCTTGGGTTTGGAGAAGCTCCTGGAGTTGTTGAGGGCGCTCTTGGGTTTGTGGGAACTCCTGGGGATGTTGTAGGAGCTCCTGGGGTTGTTGTGGGAGCTTTTGGGTTTGGAGAAGCTCCTGGAGAAGCTTCTGGATCTGTGGGAGCTTTTGGGTTTGGAGAAGCTCCTGGGGTTGTTGTAGGAACTCTAGGGTTTGTAGGAGCTTCTGGGGTTGTTGTGGGAGCTCCTGGGGTTGTTGTGGGAGCTTTTGGGTTTGGAGAAGCTCCTGGGGTTGTTGTGGGAGCTCTTGGGTTTGGAGAAGCTCCTGGGGATGTTGAGGTTTGTGGGAGCTTCTGGCTCTGTGGTATCTCCTGTGTCTGCAGGAGCTCTCAGGTCTGTGGGAGCTCTTGGTGTCCACACCTTGAATGCTGGGGTCAGTTTTGGGCTTCTCACAGCAACAAAGATTTTGAGGGTCAAGTCCAGAGAAGGGAAAGGGACTGGAGCACAAGAAGGGTCTGGAAAACTCCTGAGGAGATGAGGGAGCTGGGGTGGCTCATCCTGGAGAAAAAGGGATCAGGGTATTTGGAGGCTTGAGGATTTTGGGGGGCTCTTGGGTCTGTAGGAGCTCACAGGTTGTGGAAGCTCATGGGTTTGTCAAGGCTCTCAGGTTTTTAGGAGCTCCTGGGTCTGTTGGAGCTCATGGGTTTGTCAAGGCTCTCAGGTTTTTGGGAGCTCATGGGTTATGGAAGCTTGTGGGTTTGTCAAGGCTCTCAGGTTTTTGGGAGCTCATGGGTTATGGAAGCTTGTGGGTTTGTCAAGGCTCTCAGGTTTTTGGGAGCTCCTGGGTTGTGGAAGCTCATGGGTTTGTCAGGGCTCTCAGGTTTTTGGGAGCTCCTGGGTCTGTAGGAGCTCACATGTTATGGAAGCTCGTGGATTTGTCAAGGCTCTCAGATTTTTGGGGGCTCTTGGGTCTGTTGGAGCTCACAGGTTGTGGAAGCTCATGGGTTTGTCAAGGCTCTCAGGTTTTTGGGAGCTCCTGGGTCTCTTGGAGCTCATGGGTTATGGCAGCTCATGGGTTTGTCAAGGCTCTCAGGTTTTTGGGAGCTCCTGGGTTTATGGGAGCTCCTGGGTCTGAGTGAGTCCGTTCCAGTGCCTAAAAGAGGCTCAATAAAAAAAGGGAGTGGCAGTTTTAAATAGACATCCAGTGACAGGACAAGAGGAAATGGTTGAGAAGTTTAGATGAGATATTGGGAACAAATTCCTCCCTGTGAGGGTGGGGAGGCCCTCTCAGAGCAGCTGTTGCTGCCCCATCCCTGGAAGTGCTCAAGACCAGGTTGGATATGACATAGAGCAGTGTGGGACAGTGGAAAGTGTCCTTGCCTATGGGAAAACAGGAGCCTTAAGATCTCTCCCAACCCAAAGCATTCCATGATTTCAGGCTCACACCACCCGCTCCAGCCAGCGCTGCTTGGCCTTTGTGGACGACGTCCGATGCTCCAACCCATCCCTGCCGCTGACCCGCCACTGCCTCACACGTATCCTTTGATCCCAAGCTCTCCCTGAGTGTTTCCCAGCAGTTTTCCCCCTGGTTGTGCCTCTTTTCTCCCTCCCTGGCCCTGAATCAAGGCCCTCGGTTTGCTGTAGCCGTTGGTTTCAAGCAGGAGCCCAGAGGAAATGTCTCCCTGTCTGTTGGTGCTCCCATGCCATGGATCTGCCAATTCGTGTGGGAGCAACAAAGGGCTGGTCCCAGGGGTGCTCCTGTCGTGGTCTCCTGGGTCCAGAGCATCCAAACAGCCCAAAGGTGGGAATTTCACCTGGAAACAGAGAATCCAGGCAGGCCTGAGCTGGAGGGATGTGCATGGATCCCCTCCAGGCATGGGGATTCCACCTCCTCAAGCAGCTCTTCTAATGGCAGATCTTCCTTTCCAAGGAAGAAATTCCTCCTGATGAATTCAGAAATTCCTCCTGATGAATTCAGAAATTCCCCCTGATGAATTCAGAAATCCCTGATGAATTCAGAAAATCCTCCTGATGAATTCAGAAATTCCTGATGAGCTCGGAAATTCCTCCTGATGAATTCAAAAATTCCTCCTGATGAATTCAGAAATTCCTGATTAATTCAGGAATTAATTCAGAAATCCTCCTGATGAATTCAGAAAATCCTCCTGATGAATTCAGAAATCCTCCTTATTAATTCAGAAATCCCTGATGAGCTCAGAAATTCCTGATGAATTCAGAAATTCCTCCTGATAAATTCAGAAATTACTGATGAGCTCAGAAAATCCTGATGAATTCAGAAATTCCTCCTGATGAATTCAGAAATCCCTCCTGATGAATTCAGAAATCCCTGATGAATTCAGAAATTCCTGATGAGCTCAGAAATTCCTCCTGATGAATTCAGAAATTCCTGAACCTCCCCTGACAAAGCTTGAGGCTCTTCCCTCTTGTCCTGTCCCTTGTTCCTTGGGAGCAGAGCCCTAATATGGGATCAAGGATCCCTCAATATGGGATCAAGGATTCCCCAATATGGGATGAAGGATTCCCCAGTATGGGATGACCCCAAATATGAAATCAAGGATTCCCCAGCTCAGGGATGACCCCAAATATGGGATCAAGGATCCCCCAATATGGGATCAAGGATCCCCCATCTCCTGGATGACCCCCAATATGGGATCAAGGATTCCCCATCTCGTGGATGACCCCCAAATATGGGATCAAGGATCCCCCAATATGGGATCAAGGATTCCCCATGTCAGGGATGACCCCCAAATATGGGATCAGGGATCCCCCATGTCAGGGGTCACTCCCAGTATGGGATCAGGAATCCCCCAATATGGGATCAAGGATCCCCCAATATGGGATCAAGGATCCCCCATCTCAAGGATGACCCCAAATATGGGATCAAGGATTCCCCAGTATGGGATGAACCCATATATGAAATCAAGGATTCCCCATCTCATGGATGACCCCCAATATGGGATCCAGGATCCCCCAGCTCAGGGATTTGTGGGAGGTGCTGGGTTTGTGTGAGCTCTTGGGGTTATCAGAGTTCCTGAGTCTTTGGGAACTCTGGGTTTGTGGGAATTGCTGGATTTGTGGGAGCTCCTGGATCTGCAGGAGCTCCTGAGTTTTTGGCACCTCTCGGGTCTTGAGGAGCTTTCAGATTTCTTGGGAAATTCTGGATTTTTGAGAACCCTTGTGGTTTGTTTTGTTTTTCCCTGGAGTTCTCCTACTCCCCCAGCCCTGTGCAAGGAGCAGGAGCTGGAAGCTGCCTTTGTTTCTCTTTAACCACCACAGACCTCAAAGTAAAACCAGGAGAAATCCCATAAAACAGCCAGAGAAGCTGCTGTTGGCAGCTGGTGCTCTTGGGAGGGAGGGAAGAGCTGGCTCTGGCTCTCAGTGACACAAACAAGCTTTTCCTGGGGCAGCTGATAACATCTGATAACATCTGTGGCTTTTCTGGAGCTTCTGGGGCTCTGTTTGCTTCCAGGAGCTGGATTGTTTGTGCCAGGGCACTAAAGGGATGGGGGAAGGCTGGGAGCTTCCAGATGGAGCTTGGGATTTTTGTCCTCTTGGCAATCTGTGCTTTTGGCTACCACTAAAGTCAGTGCTGGAGCTGGGAGTTTGCTCCAGGAGATGAAAATCTGATTTCTCCACTCCCTGTTCCCTCACCACATCTTCCCTTGGGTGTCCCAGGTCCTTTTCTCTTGGGCTGGGCTCTGACTTTGCTGCCAGCCCAGATTCTGGCTCTCCACAGCCTGCCAGGAAGTGAATTCCTGAGAAATCCTTGCAGTAGGGAGGGGTGAATCTCAAACCTTGACAGCTTTAAGAAACTGGCTTAAATTTGGTGTCTTTGCCCAGTTTTATGTGGATTTGGAATTTTTTTCCCCCCTCCCACACTGGTGAAATTGCAGTTGGGATGATCCTGGTTGGAAGGGGATAGAAGAGGAGAAAGGTGGGAGGAAGAGGAGGAAAGGGTTGGAAGAAAAGGGATCAGAATGGGGATCAGAAAAGGAGAAAAGTATGGAAGAGGAGGAAGAGGTGGGAAGAAAAGGATGAGGATTAGAAAAGGACAAAGAGAAATGGAAGAGGAGGAAAGGATGGGGAGAATGGATGGGGATCAGAAAAGGAGAAAGAGAAATGTAAGAGGAGGAAGGGATGGGAAGAAAAGGGATCAGAAATGGGGATCAGAAAAGGAGAGAAAGAGAAATGGAAGAGGAGGAAAGGATGGGAAGAAAAGGTTGGAAGAAGTGAATTGGGGTTGAAAAAGAGGAAGGGGTGAAAAGAAAAGGATGGGGATCAGAAAAGGAGAAAAGGATGGAAGAGGAGGAAGGGGTGGGAAGAAAAAGGATCAGAAATGGGGATCAGAAAAGGAGAGAAAGAGAAATGGAAGAGGAGGAAAGGGTGGGAAGAAAAGGATGAGGATCAGAAAAGGAGAAAGAGAAATGGAAGAGGAGGAAAGGGTGGGAAGAAAAGGATGAGGATCAGAAAAGGAGAAAGAGAAATGGAAGAGGAGAAAAGGATGGGAAGAAAAGGTTGGAAGAAGTGAATTGGGGTTAAAAAAGAGGAAGGGGTGAAAAGAAAAGGATGGGGATCAGAAAAGAATGGAAGAGGAGGAAGGGATGGGAAGAAAAGGATGAGGATCAGAAAAGGACAAAGAGAAATGGAAGAGGAGGAAAGGATGGGAAGAAAAGGGATCAGAAATGGGGATCAGAAAAGGAGAGAAAGAGAAATGGAAGAGGAGGAAAGGATGGGAAGAAAAGGTTGGAAGAAGTGAATTGGGGTTGAAAAAGAGGAAGGGGTGAAAAGAAAAGGATGGGGATCAGAAAAGGAGAAAAGGATGGAAGAGGAGGAAGGGATGGGAAGAATGGATGGGGATCAGAAATGGAGAAAGAGAAATGGAAGAGGAGGAAAGGATGGGAAGAAAAGGTTGGAAGAAGTAAATTGGGGTTGAAAAAAGAGGAAGGGGTGAAAACAAGAGAAAAGAGATTGAAAGAGGAGGAAAAGGATGGAGTTGGAAGAGGAGGATGGGGTCAGAATAGGGCTTGGAAGAAGAGGATGGGTGTGGGAAGAGGAAGAAAGGGTTGGGAGGTGCTGGGTTCAGAGCAGGCCGGGTTCTGATCTGTAGCTCCTGTGCCTCTGGATCACTCTGCAAGTGTGATGCAATTGAAGCAGAGTTTCTGTTTGGGATTAAAGGCAGGAAATCCCATTTACACCTCTGGCAGGAACAGGTTTTCCACTGGGAAAGAAAATGCAGTGGGAGGATGGAAATAGCAGAACTAAAACGCTGGCTGTGGGAAAGGCCTTGTGTGTGCTGGGATCTCCTGCCATGGGCTGGAGCTGAGCATTTCCCGTGCATGGCTGCAAACAAAAGTTAATCCTGGCCCTTTGTGCCATCCAGCTGAGAGTCTCAGTGCTCCCAGGGATCCAGCCCCATCTCCCAGCCCCCACAAAGGGGGGTTGTGGCTCTTGTCCCAGTTTTCCATCGTGGGAATGATGGCACCCACATCCCTGGGCATTGGGGTGCAGCTCTGGCCTCTGCAGTCCTGATCTGGGAGATCCCAATATGGGATCAGGGATCCCCCAGCTCAGGGATCACCCCAGTATGGGATCAAAAATTCCCCAGCACAAGGATGACCCCCAATATGGGATCAAGGATGCCCCAGTTTAGGGATCACCCCCAATATGGGATTAAGGATCTCCCAGCTCAGGGATGACCCCCAATATGGGATCAAGGATTTCCCAATATGGGATCAAAAATTCCCCAGCGCAAGGATGACCCCCAATATGGGATCAAGGATTCCCCAATTTAGGGATCACCCCCAATATGGGATCAAGGATTCCCCAGCTCAAGGATCACCCCCAATATGGGATCACCCCCAATATGGGATCAAGGATCCCCCAGCTCAAGGATCACCCCAATATTTGATCAAGGATTCCCCAGCTCAGGGATGACCCCCAATATGGGATTAAGGATCTCCCAGCTCAGGGATCACCCCAAATATGGGATAAAGGATCCCCCAGCTCAGGGATGACCAGCAATATGGGATCACCCCCAATATGGGATCAAGGATTCCCCAGCTCAGGGATGACCCACAGATATGGGATTAAGGATTCCCCAATATGGGATCAAGGATCCCCCAGCTCAAGGATGACCAGCAATATGGGATCACCCCCAATATGGGATTAAGGATTCCCCAGTATGGGATCAAGGATTCCCCAGCTCAGGGATGACCCCCACATATGGGATTAAGGATTCCCCAATGTGAGATTAAGGATTCCCCAATATGGCATGACCCCATTATGGCATTCTCTGTACCTCTGCTCCTTTCCTTGACCTCCTCTTCCCAGATATCTGCCAGGACACCAACCAGACCCTTTTCAAGCCTTGCCAGGGCTCTGAGGAAGTGCCCTGCAACAAGCCCGTGCCCGTGAGCCTGTCGGAGGAGCCCTGCTGCCCGCTGCACCTGCGGCTGCCCCCCCAGATGTACGTGCCAGAGCAGGTGCTGGCCGTGCCCCAGGAGCTGGGGGCAGCCCCCACCGAGCTGTACCTGAGTGCAGCTGAGCTGCAGCCCAGCGAGAGCCTGCCCCTGGAGTTCAGTGACGTGAGTGCCAAAGCTGGGAGTGCCTCCAGCTCCCAGCTGGGCATGGGAGGGGAGGCTCTTCCAGCCTTTCCTTCCCATCCCTTCCTCCTCTTCCATTTCTCTCTGATCCCCGTCCTTTTGGTCCAACCTCTTCCTTTTTTTCAACCCCAATTCACTTCTTCATTCACTTCTTCCAACCTTTTCTTCCCATCCCTTCCTCCTCTTCCATTTCTCTTTCTCCTCTTCTGATCCCCATGCTTTTCTTCCCACCCCTTCCTCTTTTTCAACCTCCGTTCCCTTCTTCCAGCCTTTTCTTCCAACCCTTTTCTCCTCTTCCATTTCTCTTTCTCCTCTTCTGATCCCCATGCTTTTCTTCCCACCCCTTCTTCTTTTTCAGCCTCTTTCAATCTCTTTCTCTTCTTTCCACTCCTTCCTTTTTTTCAACCCCAATTCACTTCTTCCAACCTTTCCTTCCCATGCCTTCCTCCTCTTCCATCCCTCTTTCTCTCCTTCTGATCCCCATCCTTTTTTTTCCCACCCCTTCCTCATTTTCAACCTCCATTCCCTTCTTCCAACCCTTTCCTCCTCTTCCATCCTTTTCTCCTTTTCTGATCCCCATCCTTTTTTTCCCACCCTTTCCTCTTTTTCAACCTCCATTCCCTTCTTCCAACCTTTTCTTCCCATCCCTTCCTCTTCTTCCATTTCTCTTTCTCCTCTTCTGATCCCCATCCTTTTCTTCCAACCCCTTCCTCTTTTTCAACCTCTTCCCATCTCTTTCTCTTCTTTCCACCCCTTCCTCTTTTTCAGTCCCCATTCACTTCTTCCAGCCTTTTCTTCCAACCCTTTTCTCCTCTTCCATCCTCTTTCTCTCCTTCTCATCCCCATCCTTTTCTTCCAGCCTCTTCCTCGTTTTTCAACTCCAATTCACTTATTCCAACCTTTTCTTCCAACCCTTTCCTCCTCTTCCATTCCTCTTTCTCTCCTTCTGATCCCCATCCTTTTTTTCCCACTCCTTCCTCTTTTTCAACCTCCATTCTCTTCTTGCAGCCTTTTCTTCCCAAACCTTTCCTCCACTTCCATCTGAGAGCCCACCTGGGATGCTGCATCCAGGGCTGGGGTTCTGAGCACAGGAGGAGCTGCTGGAGTGAGGCCAAGGGCTCTGGAAGAGCTCTGGAGCCAGGTTGGGGATGTCCAAGCTGGAGAGAAGAAGGATCCAGGGGCATCTTAGGGCCCCTTGTACCTGGAGAGGGATTTGGGACAAAGAATGGAGTGCCAGGACAAGGGGGAATGGTTTCCAGTGCCAGAGGCAGGGTTAGATGGGATATTTTGAGGGATTTGGGACAAAGGATGGAGTGCCAGGATGAGGGGGAATGGTTTCCAGTGCCAGAGGCAGGGTTGGATGGGATATTTTGAACAAATTTCTCCCTGTGAAGATCTCCCCAGGTTTCTCCCTAGGGAGGCCCTGGAATGGATTTTCCAGAGAAGATGTGGCTGCCCCTGGATCCCTGGAATTGTGTAAGACCAGGTTGGACAGGGCTTGGAGCCACCTGGGATAGTGGAAGGTGTCCATGTCCCTGTCCATGGATGATTTTTACATTCTAAAGCATCCTGAGAGTCTGAAAATGCAGAAATGTGGAAAGTTTGGGAGCTATTCCAGAGTTGGTGGCTGCTCCTTTGGAATGGCTGTGCTCTTTAAGAGCAGGGACCTCTTTAAAAGAGGATTTTATCCCTACCCCACCCCCATTTTCTCTGGCAATAGGAAAAGATGAAGATTTTAATCCCCAGATTATTGTGGCATCATCATGCATTGAAAGCAGCACAGCTCAGAGCCTCAGGAATGCATTGAGGCCAAAGCAGAGCAGCAGGATCCAGGGGAGCTGCTCCTGGCAGTGTCCCCTCAGTGTTTGGGTGCTCCTGAGGTTGCTGTTGGAGGCAAACCTTGGATCTCCTTTGGAGTTTGGTGATGGAGAAGGGAATTCCAGCAGCAGGAGCTGGGCCAGGCTGGGGGAAGGCTCAGATCGGATCCCAGCTCCTTTCTGTGCAAACAGGAGGTGATTTTTGGGGTTAGAAAGGTAAACCAGGACTCTTTTCCCTCATCCTGAGCTTGGAGAGGGTTCTGAGCTCCCTCTGGAGCTCTGCAGATTCATGGGAGCTGCTGGGGGCAGCTGTGTTGTGTCTCACATGGTGCCAGGCTGGGGAGGCGCCACTCCCGAGTCACGGGAATGTCACCCTTGTGTCAAAGCCCCTCTGGAGCCAGGACAAATCCCGGCATCTGCTGAATTCCAGCCTCTGCTGAGTCCCAGCTTCTCCTGAATCCCAGCCTCTGCTGAATCCCAGCTTCTCTGAATCCCAGCCTCTCTGAATCCCAGCTTCTGAATCCCAGCTTCTCTGAATCCCAGCATCTGCTGAGTCCCAGCCTCTGCTGAATCCCAGCTTCTCTGAATCCCAGCTTCTCCCAAATCCCAGCTTCTCCCAAATCCCAGCCTCTCCTGAATCCCAGCATCTACTGAGTCCCAGCTTCTCTGAATCCCAGCTTCTCTGAATCCCAGCCTCTTCCAAATCCCAGCATCTACTGAGTCCCAGCTTCTCTGAATCCCAGCTTCTCCCAAATCCCAGCATCTACCGAGTCCCAGCCTCTCCTGAATCCCAGCATCTACTGAGTCCCAGCCTCTCCTGAATCCCAGCTTCTCCCAGATCCCAGCTTCTGAATCCCAGCCTCTCCTGAATCCCAGCCTCTGCTGAATCCCAGCTTCTCCTGAATCCCAGCCTCTTCCAAATCCCAGCTTCTCCTGAATCCCAGCATCTACTGAGTCCCAGCCTCTGCTGAATCCCAGCCTCTGCTGAATCCCAGCCTCTCCTGAATCCCAGCCTCACCCAAATTCCAGCTTCTCCCAAATCCCAGCCTCTGCTGAATCTCAACCTCTCCTGAATCCCAGCTTCTCTGAATCCCAGCTTCTCCCAAATCCCAGCCTCTTCCAAATCCCAGCCTCTTCCAAATCTCAGCCTCTCCTGAATCCCAGCCTCACCCAAATTCCAGCTTCTCCCAAATCCCAGCCTCTGCTGAATTTCAACCTCTCCTGAATCCCAGCCTCTCCTGAATCCCAGCATCTTCTGAATCCCAGCCTCTCCTGAATCCCACTTTCTCCCAAATCTCAGCTTCTCCTGAATCTCAACTTCTCCTGAATCCCAGCTTCTCCCATATCCCAACCTCTCCCAAATCTCAGCTTCTCCCAAATCCCAGCCTCTGCTGAATCCCAGCCTCTGCCCTTGTCAGGGAGGGCAGATGGAGCAGTGCCCAGAGCCTGTCCATCCCCATCTGTGCTGTCAGAGCAAACACAGGAGGTGTGACATCCTGGGAGAGGCTGGGGATGTTCCAGGTGTCCCCATGAATGTGTGTGACATCCAGGAGAGCAGGGATGGCTCTGTGTGTCCCCTCCAGTGTGTGTGACACCCTGGATGGCTCTGGGTGTCCCCATGAATGTGTGTGACACCCTGGATGGCTCTGGGTGTCCCCATGAATGTGTGTGACACCCTGGATGGCTCTGGGTGTCCTCAGGAGTGTGTGTGACATCCTGGAGAGCAGGGACTGATCTGGGTGTCCCCATGAATGTATGTGACATCCTGGATTGTTCTGTGTGTCCCCAGCAGTGTGTGTGACATCCAGGAGAGGGTGGGGATGTTCCAGGTGTCCCCATGAATGTGTGTGTGACACCCTGGATGGCTCTGGGTGTCCCCATGAATGTGTGTGTGACACCCTGGATGGCTCTGGGTGTCCCCTGCAGTGTGTGTGACATCCTGGATAGCTCTGTGTGTCCCCAGCAGTGTGTGTGACATCCAGGAGAGGGTGGGGATGTTCCAGGTGTCCCCATGAATGTGTGTGTGACACCCTGGATAGCTCTGGGTGTCCCCATGAATGTGTGTGTGACACCCTGGATGGCTCTGGGTGTCCCCATGAATGTGTGTGACATCCTGGATGGCTCTGGGTGTCCCCATGAGTGTGTGTGACACCCTGGATGGCTCTGGGTGTCCCCATGAATGTGTGTGACACCCTGGATTGCTCTGGGGGTCCCCAGCAGTGTGTGTGACACCCTGGATGGCTCTGTGTGTCCCCTGCAGTGTGTGTGACACCCTGGATTGCTCTGTGTGTCCCCATGAATGTGTGTGACACCCTGGATGGCTCTGGGGGTCCCCAGGAGTGTGTGTGACATCCAGGAGAGGGTGGGGATATTCCAGGCGTCCCCATGAGTGTGTGTGACACCCTGGATTGCTCTGTGTGTCCCCAGCAGTGTGTGTGACATCCTGGATTGCTCTGTGTGTCCCCATGAATGTGTGTGACATCCAGGAGAGGCTGGGGATATTCCAGGTGTCCCCATGAATGTGTGTGACACCCTGGATGGCTCTGGGTGTCCCCATGAATGTGTGTGACACCCTGGATGGCTCTGGGTGTCCCCATGAGTGTGTGTGACACCCTGGATGGCTCTGGGTGTCCCCATGAGTGTGTGTGACACCCTGGATTGTTCTGTGTGTCCCCATGAGTGTGTGTGACACCCTGGATAGCTCTGGGTGTCCCCATGAGTGTGTGTGACACCCTGGATTGCTCTGGGTGTCCCCATGAATGTGTGTGTGACACCCTGGATAGCTCTGTGTGTCCCCAGCAGTGTGTGTGACACCCTGGATTGCTCTGTGTGTCCCCAGCAGTGTGTGTGACATCCAGGAGAGCAGGGATGGCTCTGGGGGTCCTCAGAAAGGTGTGATTGGACCCTGTCAAAGCCATTCCAGGTGCTGGGGGGACACTTTGGGGACAGCACATCACGCTGGCCTCCAGCTGGTGTGTCCCAGCCCTTGTCCTCAGCAGTGCCAGCCGGGATCATGGCATTCCAGGAGGAGGAGGAGGAGGAGGAGGAGGAGGAAGGGGGTTCCTGGGCTGTGTTCCTGCCTGGGGGTCCCCCTGGCTTGGTGCCCTCTCCTCCTCCTCCTCCTCCTCCCTGCCTTTCTCCTCCCTTTCCTGCTGCTCCAGAGCCTCCTCAGCCCCTCCTGATGATCTCTTTTCCCTGCCAGGACCTGGACGTGGTGGGTGATGGGATGCAGTGCCCCCCTTCCCCTCTGCTCTTTGACCCTTCTGTCACCCTGGACCCAGCCCTGAGGGACGTGGCCGAGGCTCCCATCGACATCCTGGCCCTGGAGGAGCCCGACAGGGGCAGCTCCTCCACGCCCCTCATGCCTCCAGCCGAGGCTCCTGCCCAGGTATGGCCAGGTGGGACTGATCCCCCCACCCTGGCACGGGGTTTTCTCTTCCCTCCTCTTCCTCCCACACAGCAGCTCCAGAGCCTGGGTGTGCCCACGGTCTGGGTGGCATTAGGAGGGCCAGGCAGGTGGTGGCAGCCCCTGGGGTGGGTGCCACCCTTGTCCTGGAGGTGTCTGGGACACTGGGGATGTCTGGGATGCTCTTGAAACCTCTTAATCCCAGCTGGGGGGGGTTTAGGGGAGTTGTTTCCCATCCCAGGGGTTCTCCTTCCTTACAGTCTTAATTTTCACTTGGATGACTGAAATTTATTGATTGAAATTTGTTCCTGGCATCCTGGCTGGAGCTTGGGGCTTTGGGGTGTCCCCACAGGTGATGTCTCCCACTCTCCTGTCATGGCTCCAAGTTTTGGGGTGGGGTGGCCACAGCCCAGGGGTTCTCCTTTCTTCCTTGATTTTTAAATTTTCACTGGGATGACTGAAATTTATTGACTGAAATTTGTTCCTCTCATCCTGGCTGGAACTTGGGGCTTCTTTGGGGTGTCCCCACAGGGACAGGTGATGTCTCCCACTGTCCTGTCATGGCTCCAAGTTTTGGGGTGAGGGGGCCACATCCCAGGGGTTCTCCTTCCTTGCAGTCTTAATTTTCACTGGGATAACTGAAATTTGTTCCTCTCATCCTGGCTGGAACTTGGGGCTTCTTTGGGGTGTCCCTACAGGGACAGGTGATGTCACCCACTGTCCTGTCATGGTGTAAAAGCCAAATTTTGGGGTGGGGAGGGGGACCCACATCCCAGGCTCCGACTGAAGACCCCCAGTTTTGCTGTAGCTGTTGGTTTCAAGCAGGAGCCCAGAGCAAAATCCCTCCCGGTCTGTTGGTGCTCCTGGCCCGTGGAGTTCCCAATTCGTGTGGGAGTGACACTGTCCCCCCCAGGCTGTGTCCCAGCACCCCCTGCCATGTCCCTGTGCTGTCCCAGCAGTGTCACCTTCCCTCTGCAGCCCCAGGAGCAGCAGCCACAGGGAGCGACCTCATCCAGCCCAGCCCGAGGAGCCAACGGGAGCCTGGAGCCGGGAGCTGTGGGCTGAGCCTGGTGTGGGACCCTCAGCGTGGGACTGGGGGGGCTGCAGAGCTGCTCCAGTGCCAGGAGGAGCTGCAGCTCCAGCCCTGCTGATTCTGCAACCACAGAAACCCCAGAAACCCCATCCAGACCTTCCTGTCCTCCATGGGGATGGAGCTGGGGAGGGAAATCACCAAATTCTGGGGGACCCTCACCGTGGGGCCTGGGGGGGCTGGAGAGCTGCTCCAGTGCCAGGAGGAGCTGCAGCTCCAGCCCTGCTGATTCTGCAACCACAGAAACCCCATCCAGACCCTCCCATCCTCCATGGGGATGGAGCTGGGGAGGGAAATCACCAAATTCTGGGGGACAGAAATCACCAAATTCTGGGGGACAGAAATCACCAAATTCTGGGGGACACCCGTGGGGCCTGGGGGGGCTTGAGTCCTTCTCCAGTGCCAGGATGAGCTGCAGCTCCAGCTCTGCTGATTCTGCAGCCACTGAAACCCCAGAAACCCCAAGATGGGGCTCCAGACCCTCCTGTCCTCTGTGGGGAGGGAAATCAGCAAATTCTGGGGGACAGAAATCACCAAATTCTGGGGGACAGGAATCACCAAATTCTGGGGGACCCTCACTGTGGGACCTGGGGGGGCTTGAATCCTTCTCCAGTGCCAGGAGGAGCTGCAGCTCCAGCTCTGCTGATTCTGTAACCACAGAAACCCCATCCAGACCTTTCTGTCCTCCATGGGGATGGAGCTGGGGAGGGAGATCACCAAATTCTGGGGGACAGAAATCACCAAATTCTGGGGGACCCCCACCGTGGGACCTGGGGTGGTCTCAAGTCCTTCTCCAGTGCCAGGAGGAGCTGCAGCTCCAGCTCTGCTGATTCTGCAGCCCCAGAAACCCCAAAACCCCCAGAAACCCCATCCAGACCCTCCCGTCCTCCATAGGGATGGAGCTGGGGACAGAAATCACCGAATACTGGGGGACACCCAGGGGACCCTCACTGTGGGACCTGGGGGGGCTTTGAGTCCTTCTCCAGTGCCAGCAGGAGCTGCAGCTCCAGCTCTGCTGATTCTGCAGCCACTGAAACCCCAGAAACCCCATCCAGACCTTCCTGTCCTCCATGGGGATGGAGCTGGGGAGGGAAATCACCAAATTCTGGGGGACCCTCACCGTGGGGCCTGGGGGGGCTGGAGAGCTGCTCCAGTGCCAGGAGGAGCTGCAGCTCCAGCTCTGCTGATTCTGCAGCCACTGAAACCCCAGAAACCCCAAGATGGGGCTCCAGACCCTCCTGTCCTCTGTGGGGAGGGAAATCAGCAAATTCTGGGGGACAGAAATCACCAAATTCTGGGGGACAGGAATCACCAAATTCTGGGGGACCCTCACCGTGGGGCCTGGGGGGGCTGGAGAGCTGCTCCAGTGCCAGGAGGAGCTGCAGCTCCAGCCCTGCTGATTCTGCAGCCCCAGAAACCCCATCCAGACCTTCCTGTCCTCCATGGGGATGCAGCTGGGGAGGGAAATCACCAAATTCTGGGGGACAGAAATCACCAAATTCTGGGGGACCCCCACCATGGGACCTGGGGTGGTCTCAAGTCCTTCTCCAGTGCCAGGAGGAGCTGCAGCTTCAGCTCTGCTGATTCTGCAGCCACAGAAACCCCAAAACCCCCAGAAACCCCATCCAGACCCTCCCGTCCTCCATAGGGATGGAGCTGCCACAGGAGGGAAATCACCAAATTTTTGGGGTCTCTGCTACACCCTGGTGGTCCTGGGGGGATGATGTGGCCCCGTGGGGTTTTGGGGGGGACAGAGGTTCCATTCTGTGCATTCACCCCCACAATAAAGTGATGGAGGTGGGTGCTCGGTGTCCCTGTGTTGTGTGATGAGTCTGGGATTTGGGGGTGTTTGAGGTGTTTAGGGGTGCCCTGAGGGGTGTTTGGGGTGCCCTGAGGTGTTTGGGGGTGTTGGGGATGCCCTGGGGTATGTTTGGGGTGCCCTGGGGGTTATCTGGGGTTCCTTGGGGGGTGTTTGGGGTGCATGGGGTGGCCTGGGGTGTTTAAGGTGCCCTGGGGGGTGTTTGTGGTGCCTTGAGGAATGTTTGGGGTGCTTTGGTGTCTTTGGGGGTGCCCTGTGGGGTTTGGGGTTGCCCTGGGGTGTTTGGGGTGCCCTGGGGTGTTGGGAGGTGCCCTGGGGGGTGTTTGGGGTGCCCTGAGGGATGTTTGGGGTGCTTTGGTGTCTTTGGGGTGCCCTGGGGGGTGTTGGAGATGCCCTGTGGGGTTTGGGGGTGCCCGGGGGGTGTTTTGGGTACCCTGTGGGGTTTGGGGGTGCCCTGGGGGATGTTTGGCGATGCCCTGGGGGGTATTTGGGGTGCCCTGAGGGATGTTCGGGGTGCCTTGGTGTCTTTGGGGTGCCCTGGGGGGTGTTTGGGGGTACCCTGGGGGACGTTGGAGATGCCCTGGGGTGTTTGGGGTACCCTGAGGGGTGTTTGGGGTGCCCTGTGGGGTTTGGGGGTGCCCGGGGGGTGTTTTGGGTACCCTGTGGGGTTTGGGGGTGCCCTGGGGGATGTTTGGCGATGCCCTGGGGGTGTTTGGGGTGCCCTGGGATGTTTGAGGGTGCCCTGGGTGGTGTTTGCTTGCCCTGGGATGTTTGGGGTGCCCTGTGGGGTTTGGGGGTACCCTGAGGGGTTTGGGGTTGCCCTGGGGGTCCCTTCGGGGTCCCTCTTGATTCCGGTCCGGTTCCCGTGGCGGGGGGGTCACGCTCGGTGGGGTTCGGTGGGGTTCGGTTCGTTCCGGTCCCATCCCGGCTCAGCTCCACCGGGGGCGGGGGGGACTCGGTACCGATCCCGCCGGGCTGGAGGAGGGAGGCGGCGGTGCCGGCTCCGTTCCGGGCGGTTCCGGTGATCACGGGAACGGTGGGGGGGGGGGGGTTGGGGGATGCCCGGTGCGCGCGGATTGGCGGCGGCGGGGGCGCAGGGCGGGGCCGGCCCGGTGCGGCCATGACGTCACCGCCGCCGCCGCCGGTCCCGCCCCGGTGCCGGTGCCGGTGCCAGCCCCGGCCATGGCGCCCCGGCCCCGCCGTAGCCCCCGGTGAGTCTCCGGGGCGGGGGGGACCGGGGTGGGGGGAGGTTGGGGCCGCTCCTCGGGGGTACCGGAGGCGGGGGGGGGGGGGGCGGCATCGGTGGCCTCCAGGCACCGGGAGAGTGGGGGGGGATCCCGGGGGAGCGGCGGGGGTGGCCCGGTGGGTGGCGTCCCGCGTGTCCCCGGTGCGTCCCCGTTGTGTCCTCGGCTGTCCCCGCTGTCCCCGGTGCATCCTGGGGTGTCCCCGCTGTCCCCAGAGCATCCCGGATGTCTCGGAGGTGTCCCCGTGCACCCTGGCTGTCCCTGGGGTGTCCTCAGTGTCCCCAGTGCACCCCGGCTGTCCCTGCGGTGTCCCCAGAGCATTCCGGCTGTCCCCAGGGCCACCAGTGAATTCTGACTGTCCCTGGGGTGTCCTCAGTGTCCCCAGTGCATCCTGACTGTCCCTGGGGTGTCCCCACTGTCCCCATTACACCCTGACTCTCCCTGGGGCGTTCCTGGTGTCCCCACTGCACCCTGGCTGTCCCTGCAGTGTCCCCAATGTCCCCACTGCATCCTGACTGTCCCTGGGGCATTCCTGGTGTCCCCAGTGCATCCTGACTGTCCCTGGGGTGTCCCCAATGTCCCCAGTGCACCCCGGCTGTCTCTGGGGTGTCCCCATTGTCCCCAGTGCACCCTGGCTGTCCCTGGGGTGTCCCCAATGTCCCCCGTGCACCCCGGCTGTCCCTGGGGTGTCCCCAATGTCCCCATTGCACCCCGGCTGTCCCTGGGGTGTCTCCAGAGCATTCCAGCTGTCCCCAGGGTCACCAGTGACCCCTGACTGTCCCTGGGGTGTCCTCAGTGTCCCCACTGCGTCCTGACTGTTTCCAGAGTGTCCTCAGTGTCCCCAGTGCATCCTGACTCTCCCTGCGGTGTCCTCAGTGTCCCCAGTGCACCCGGACTGTCCCAGGGGTGTCCCCAGAGCATTCTGGCTGTCCCCAGGGTCCCCAGTGAACCCTGACTATCCCTGGGATGTCCCCAGCGCATCCCAGCTGTCCCTGGGGTGTCCCAGTGTCCCCATTGCACCCTGGCTGTCCCTGGGGTGTCCCAATGTCCCCAGAGCATTCCGGCTGTCCCCAGTGTCCCCCTGCACCCTGACTGTCCCTGGGGTGTCCCCAGTGTCCCCAGCTGTCCCCTGTGTGTGTCTCTGCTGTCCCCACCACATCCTGACTGTTCCATGCAGTGTCCCCACTGCATCCCTGGCTGTCCCTGCGTGTCCCTGCCCAGCTGTCCTCGATGTGTCCCCGCAGCCTGAGGCCATTTCTCTGGCACATCCCACTTGTCCCCGGTGTGTCCCGGCTGTCCCCAGGGTGTCCTTGCTGTCCCTGGTGCATCCTGGCTGGCCCTGGACTGTCCCCAGGGTGTCCTGGCTGCCCCCATAGGGGCTCACCAGGACTGGGGACACTCGGGGCTGTCACCCCTGTCCCTGGATTGTCCCCAGGGTGTCCTTGCCTGGTGCATCCTGGCTGGCCCTGGACTGTCCCCAAGGTGTCCTGGCTGCCCCCATAGGGGCTCACCAGGGCTGGGCACTCTCGGGGCTGTCACCCCTGTCCCTGGCTCGCCATAGGGACCCTGGTGTGGGGGTCAGGGCCAGGCCCAGCCCGTCACAGCCACGCAGGCACGTCCAGGGCTGTGGTTTGTCCCCTCGCCGTGTCCCCACGGGGCAGCGGGGACAGAGTGGCTGGGGGGACACTGGGGAGGGGACACGGGCTCTGGGTGGCCCTGGCAGTGTCCCCCTCCCCACAGGGACCCTCCCGCGCAGGGCCCCGCGCTGGGGGAGGGGATGGCCTCGCTGTCCATCTGTCGGGGCCCCCCCGGCTGTCCCCGCCGGGGGCTTGGGGGGGGCCGCGGGCCGCTCTTCCCCTCCAGACGGAGCCTCACTTCCCCCCGTGACGCAGCCGGAGCCGCCGGCCCCGGGGCCGCTTCCTGCTCGGGGGGGCGGCCGAGGGGCCCACGGGCACCTCAGGGACAATGGGGACCCGCGGGGATTCGCCCCACGGGCTGCAGGGGACGGGGACAGCACGGGCGAGGTGTGGCCGTGGCCCCCCAGACCTTCCCCTTGTCCCTCCATCACCCCCAGATCCTCTTGTTGTCCCCCGCATCCCCCCCAAATTCTCCTCTCATCCCCTCCGCTCTCCCCCGTCCTGCCGAGCCCCCCCCAGGGGTGAACCGGGGACGCGCGGCCCCGTGTGAACCCCAAAACCCCAAATCTCCCCCTCGGGGGGCGGCAGCCACGGCCGGGGGTCCCGGCTCGGCTCCGCTCCCGCAGCCCCGGGGGCTCCACGAGGGGTCCCGGGGGTACCGGGCAGTCCCTCCGGAGGGTGCGGGATGCCCTGCGGGGACCCCTCCGTGCTCTGCCCCGTCCCCCCGGCGGTGCCCGGTGTCACGGGGGGGTTCCCGGTGCTTCCCCTCCCGGGATGGTTCCCGGTGCCGCCGCTCCCGGGGGCCTCAGCGCCGGTTGCCCGGGGCTGGCGCTGGCGGAGCCGCGCACCGGGGGAGGCGGTGGCTCCATCCCGGCTCCTCCCCGGCCGCGGCCGGGAAGGCGGAGCCGCCGCCGCCGCCTCCCAACAATAGCGCGGCCGGGCCGGGCCGGGATGGAAACGCCGCCGTCGCCGGGACCGGCCCCAGGGCCGCTCTGAGCCGCGACTACCGGCGCTACCGGGAGCCCCGGGCGTGAGTACGGAGCGGGACCGGCGCTCAGCGGAGGGACGGGGGAAGCCCGGGGTGGAGCGGGGGGTGTGCGGCACTGGGGGGGGCCCGTTTGGACGCCCGGGGGTCCTGTGCGCACCGGGGCCGCGCATCCCGGTGCTCCGGGGCCGGGGTCAGTCCCGGGGCCGCTGCGTATCCCGGTAGCCCGGGGGTGCTGCACATCCCGGTGCCCCGGGGCTTCTTGTGCCGATTCCGGTCCCGGTGCTGCTGCACATCCTCGTGACCCGGTCCCGGTTCTTGGGGCTCAGCGGTGACCCGGGGCTGATGCCGGTGCCGCTCCCGGTGGTGCTGCACACCCCGGTGCCCCAGGGCTGCTCCCGGTGCCGGTCCCGGGCGTGCTGTGCCGATCCCGGGGCCGATCATTCCC